CTATATCTGTCACAGCCCTGGAATGCTGAGGCACGGTGGCCCTCCAATGTGTGGGCACTAATTATAGGCCTGCTGGTTCACCCTTCTGAGTTCTTCAACCCCTGGGTGGCAGGAGGCCTCTGAACCCACCAAGGGGTTCAAAGACCCGCTCCGAGCAGCTGAAACTCGGGTATCCACGGTTGTCCTACCCTCCCCATTGAAGTCACCGACTCCATCCAATGCAGAGAAGGTCGAGTGGGCTCCAGGGCTGGGACGCAGGGAGCCAGGCGCGGGGGTCCTTATTCTCTTGGCTTCACCCAGACAAGGCCGTCTTCCCCTGTGGGGAAAGCGGGGAGTGGACCAGACCCCGGCCAAGCACTCCCCCTGCCTGTGCCTACCCTGGAGAGCACTGTGCAGGCCGACTGGGCAGGCAGGGAACCTACTGGCCACTCCAAGAAGACTTTTTTTCCTTTTTTCCCTTCATTCAGCAATGGTTATTGGATGCTGCCAATGCTCTCAACTAGCACTTTGCAGGGGGAGGGCACGAAGGTGAACAACAGAACCACTGCAGTCAAGGTGCTGCAAGAGTGTCACCATTGTAAGAGTACAATTGACTGTGTTGAGGGCTTCCACAACCTGTAACCATCACCATCATCTACTTTCAGTACTTTTCCATCTTCCCAAACTGAGACTGTCTCTCCGTCAAACACTAACTCCCCATTCCCCTCTTCCAGCTCCCAACACCCATCATTCTACTTTGTGTCTCTCTGGGTTTGACTACTTCAGGGATCACATCTAAGTAAAATTGTATCGTATTTTTTTCACGCAGCACAATGTCCTCAAGGTTCCCTCATGTTGTAGCATGTATCAGAATGTCTTTTTTTTTTTTTTTTTTGAGACAGTGTCATTCTGTCGCCCAGGCTGGAATGCAATGGCGCGATCTCAGCTCACTGCAACCTCTGCCTCCCAGGTTCAAGCAATTCTTGTGCCTCAGCCTCCTGAGTAGCTGGGACTACAGATACACACCACCACGCCTGGCTAATATTTGTGGGTTTTTTGTTCGTTTGTTTGTTTTTGTTTTTGTTTGAGATGGAGTTTCACTCTTGTTGCCCAAGATGGAGTCCAATGGCATGATCTCGGCTCACTGCAATCTCTGTCCCCCTGGTTCAAGCGATTCTCCTGCCTCAACCTCTCGAGTAGCTGGGATTACAGACTCCCACCACCACACCCGGCTAAGTTTTTGTATTTTTAGTAGAGACGGGGTTTCACTGTGTTGACCAGGCTGGTCTCAAAGTCCTGATCTCAGGGGATTCACCTGCCTCAGCCTCCAAAAGTGCTGGGATTACAGGCATGAGCCACCACACCTGGCCTGTGGGTTTTGTTTTGTTTTGTTTTGTTTTGAGATGGAGTCTCACTCTGTCGCTCAGGTTGGAGTGCAGTGGTGCGATCTCAGCTCACTGCAGCCTCTGCCTCCTGGGTTCAAACGATTCTCCTGCCTCAGCCTTCTTGAGTAGCTGGGACTACAGGTACTTGCCACCACGCCCAGCTAATTTTTGTATTTTTAGTAGAGACGGGGTTTTGCCATGTTGGCCAGGTGATCTGCCCGCCTCAGTGATCTGCCTGCCTCAGGTAACCTCAGGTGATCCACCCGCCTCGGCTTCCCAAAGTGCTGGGATTACAGGCATGAGCCACTGCACCCAGTCTAATTTTAATATTTTTAGTTGAAACGAGGTTTCACCGTGTTGGCCAGGCTGGTCTTGAACTCCTAGCCTCAAGTGATCTGCCTGTCTCAGCCTCCCAAAGTGCTGGGATTCCAGGCGTGAGCCACTGTGCCCAGCCATGTCCTTCCTTTTTAAGGAAGAATGGCATTCCATTGCATCAATGGAGCACATTCTATTCATCCATCCTTCTACTGATGGATACTTGGTGTGATGGTTAATAGTGTCAACATGATTGGGTTGAAGGACACAAAGTATTGATCCTGGGTTTGTGAGGGTGCTGCCAAAAGAGATTAACATTTGAGTCAGTGGGCTGGGGAAGGCAGATCCACCCTTAATCTAGTGGGCACAACCTAACCAGTTGCCAGCGAATATAAAGCAGGCAGAAAAAGGTGAAATGGCGAGATGGGCCTAGCCTCCCAGCCTACATCTTTCTCCCATGCTGGATGCTTCCTGCCTTCAAACATCTGACTCCAAGATTTTCAGTTTTGGGACTCAGACTGGCTCTCCTTTCTCCTCAAGCTTGCAGATGGCCTATTGTGGGACCTTGTGATTGTGTAAGTTAATACTTAACCAACTCCCCCTTTATATATGTATCCTATTCGTCCCATCCCTCTAGAGAACCCTGACTTATACACTTGGCTTGTTTCCACCTCTGAGCTACTGCAAATGGTACAGTTATGAACATGAGTGTGCAAACATCTATCCATGTTCCTGCTTTCATTTCTTTGGGGATATGCCCGGAAGTGGAATTTCTGGATCATGTGGTAGCTCTCTGTTTAGTGCTTTGAGGAGCCACTGTGCCATTTTTCATAGGCTGCATAATTTTTCCATTCTTACTCCTGACAGGTTCTGGACCCAACGTCCCAGAGACTCAACAGGCAAAGACCTGTCCCACCAGCTCAGCCCCTTTCTCTCCCTTCTGGTTCCCTCTGGGTCACGAAAATGCAAGCAGGGAGGCCACTGTCCCTGGAGCCCCTGGGGCGGCCTTTCTTGACCTAGAAGGCATCTTCCCACAGAGCCACGGGTGTGGGGTCTCCAGGCATTGCCTGCCCCGAACACACGTGAAGCAGGTGAACCATCTAACAGCGATGGGTGCTGGGTCCCAGGACCCCCTCACCCCCGTACCCTTTTTCTTTTCAGGAGAATTCTACCTGCCCCTAGCCCCTCCTGTGTGTAAGGAAGCAGGAGTTCCCACCGTGGCACCAGAAGCAGCGGGCACCCTCTGATGCCTCCCAGGAAGCCCATGCTCTCAGCCTGTTGCCCGCCTTCTCTCACCTTCCCCTCATCCAGCAGAAGTGGGGTCGCTCTCCTTTTGGAGGCCAGCAGGTCCCTTGCCCGTTGTACCTGATGCTCAAGCTGTGGTAACACAGCCCCACACAGGGTAAGTGGCTCAAACAGACATTTATCATCTGCAGGACTCTGGGCTGGATGTCCGAGACCGGGGTGTCAGTAGTGTTGGCTCCTTCTCAGGGCTACAGGGCAGAGTCTGTTCCTTTCCTGTCCCTTAGCTGCTGGTATTTGCTGACAAACTTTGGCACTCCTGGGCTTGTAGCAGTGTCACACTTGTCCCCACCTTTACGCTCTCATGGCATCCTCCTGTATGCATGGCTGTGTCCACGTGTCCCTTAAGGAGGACCCTGGTCACAATGGTTTCAGGGGTCATTCTACTCCTATGTGACCTCATCTTCACCAGTTGCATCTGTAATGACCCCATTTCCGAATAAGGTCACATGCTGAGGTACTAGGGGTTGGGACTTCAGCAGATAAACTCTGGGGAGAGGATGTAATTCAACCCATGACCCCCCAAACACACACACAAAATAAAGTCCCTTGGACTCTGGTGTGGGAAGGTGACCTTGGCATAGCTGTCTGCTGCGAAAAATCCACATTCTCTTGTCCAAGCTGTTTTACATGTTAAACAAGAGCCCCCAGTGTCTCCTACGCCTTCATCAAAGCCATCTGTTGATCCTGTAGCACTGGGTGCCGCTGCTTCCCCTGCGTCGACACGGCCCCTGGGCAAGTTCCCCTTGCCAGGCCTCAGGGTCATCATCTGCAAGGTGGAAGTAATGGCAGCCCCTGCCCCATCCCACTCTGGAGAAACAACAAAACCCACAGCAGAGCTCAGCCTACGCCCTGCTCCTGCTGACTGCCATGAATGTGTGTCCCTGCAGGGAGCCATTCCAGGAAATCTGACTTGCGCTGGGAGCTGAAGGAGGCACCAAGATTTTCACTTGTGTTGCACACGTGCCAGTGAGGAGCCCGGCCTCCCTGTGGGTTTGGTGAGTCTGCACTGACCAGTCAGGGGGCTCTGAGTCTGGGCTCTCTGACTCTGGGCTCTGTGACCATAAACTCTCTGGCCCTGGACTCTCTGAGTCTCAGCTCTCTGACTCTGGCCTCTCTGACCCTAAGTTCTCTGACCCTGGGCTCTCTGAGTGTGGGCTCTCTGACCTCTGGAAGGTCATGGGAACAGAGAGTGATGGTCCTCACAGCCCCAGGCTCAGGACAGGCTCCTCACCTGGGCCCTGCCCATCCTGCAAAGTGCCAGGAGAGGTTTGTACACTGCCCATGCTGGCTCTCGCCTGGGCTGGCCCAGGTGATCCCACCCATGCCATTGTTGGGGAACAGGTGTGAGGAGGCACCTAGTCCAAGGCAGGGCCTGGCCACCACGTAATTGGTTCTCTGAGCCTCACCTTCTCAGGTAAAGATGGGGTGCACAGGTCCCAAGAGCAGGTTGTAAGGATAAAGGAAGTTTCTGTGCTGCCTGACCTGAAACAGTTGCTCTAAAGAGTCCCTGGAGAAGCGCACAGCTTCCAGAGGAAGGAGCTTTTTAGAGTTCTAGAAGAGTAAACCTCTCTCTCTCTCTCTCCACACGCACATACACACACACGCACAGACACACACACATCACACATTCAGACACACCCAGAAACATACACACACATACATGTCCACACACAGGCATGCACTAACACAAGAACACACATACCCACATGTGCACTCACGCTTTCATAAATACACGATCCTTCTCTCCATGCACACACACGATGCACACACACGATGCACACACATGCACAAACATGCCTTAGCATGTTTCCATCCATCCAAAAAAATCATAACTTTCTAAAACCAGGGGACTGAAGTGCACCTTTAGCCCGATCTCTAGGAATACCGTCTTCCTCTTAAAGCCTCAGCTGACGCAGGCTGGTGCCAGCGCGGATTCTGCTGTGCTCAAAGCAAGCACGTTCCAGTAAAGGCGGCAAGCGCTCCTCAGCCTGCATTACCATCTACCAAACGACAGAGTAGAATAAAATACTTTAATGTTTTGATGACACAAAGCCCCACGCTGCCCTGCTGCTCCTGGGAGGCTCCTCGGTCTGCCAGGGCTGGCACTCAGGCCCTTCCCTGCTAGCTTCTTGCCACACAGACCCACAAATGCCCTGCATTGCAGGCACCCCCCTCTGAGCTCCGACTTGGGCCCTCTTCAGTTCCCATTGGACCCTGATCTGAGCTGGCTCTGGAAATAGCTGAGAACCCAGAGGCAGGACGCAGGGGCAAGTGCTCAAGGAGGAGAGTCAGAGTCGAGAGGCTGCCACACCAAGACGTTGCCAGGAGCTCTGGCGGTGGCCACCAGGCCCAGCTAGTGCGCACTGGCCTCCAGCTGGGAGCCCAGTCTCGGGGCCTGAACCTGCGAGGGCTCCAGGCCACCCAGGCTCTGCTTCTGCCGCCGCCGTCGGGGCTGGACCCCCTTACCAGGGGGTCTAGGCAGCCCACCCTGCAGCTGCCGCACCATCTCGTGGTCCCTGTGGTCCAGCACGCGGGGCAGGAACAGGGAGGACTTCTGCGTGCGGCGAGTCTTGAAGCCCCTGCGGGGCCGGCCCTTGCCGTTCACAGACACGTACCACAGTCTCTCCGCGCTGGGCTGCCGCCGGGCCCCAGGCGTACTAGACACCGTCCGGTACAGCCGGGAGGCGTATGTGTTATAGCCCAGCTCGTGGATCCGCTCCACAAACTCGCACTCGGCGCTGTAGTGCTCCTGCGGGGATGAGATGTCACGGTCAGTGGCCCGGGGAGACTGCGCAAGCGTCAGGGCCCAGGGTTGCCCGATGCCTCCCTCCCCTCCTTTGAGGCTAATCGGTCCAGTGCCAAACCCCGGCGCACTCTCAGCCAGCCACACCTTTGCCTAGGCCTTGCCCTCTGCCCGGCATGCCCTTCCTCCCCTGTGTGCCTGGTGAACTTGGCCTTCTGCCCAAAGGTCACCTTCTCTCAAAGCTGTGCCAAACAACTCCCAGCTCCTGCTCTCTGCCTTCCACCAGCCTCTGTCCCCCGTCTGAGGGCGCTGACCCAGCACAGGGATGTGTAGGGTTATCTGTGGAGCAGAGACCGGGCCAGCCAACCTAGGTGCCCTGGGGGTCTGCTGGCAGCGTGGACGTCAGCAAGGACTGGGCATTTGGACAAAGGAAGATGACAGCACCCAGATCGCTTTTAAAGAAACTACAGAGGCCGGGTGAGGTGTCTCATGCCTGTAATCCCAGCACATTGGGAGGCTGAGGCGGATGAATCACCTGAGGTCAGGAGTTCGAGACCAGCCTGCCCAACATGGCAAAACTGTCTCTACTAAAAATATAAAAAATTAGCCAGGCGTGGTGGCACGCGCCTGTAATCCTGCTACTCAGGAGGCTGAGGCGGGAGCATCTCTGGAACCCGGGAGGCAGAGGCTGCAGTGAGCAGAGATTGTGCTGCTGCACTCCAGTCTGGGTGACAAGAGCAAAACTCTGACTCAAAAGAAAAAAAAAAAAAGAAAAGAAATTGCAGAAAAGAGAAAAGAAGAAAGAATATGAAAAGCAGGAAGGGAAGGGGACACAGCCAGGTTTCAAGAGCCCAGACTCTCCGTTAAACGCTGCACTCAGGGGTCCCAGCTGGGGTCACTGACCCCTGAGCAGCACTCTCTGAAGCTAGAGGGTCCTGCCTTGCAGGTTGAAGAGGTTACAATACAGAGCAGGGGCCGGGGCCTGGCATGAGGCACGTGCTCAATCAATGCCACAGATACTGCTGTTCTTAGGATGAGAGCAGAAGGTGGGGTGTCCCACCACAAGCAGGACAGAGAGGACACTGCTTTGTCATCAGAGATTAATGGGATCCTTGTCAGGCCCCGAGTGCAGTGGGGGAAGGGCAGAAGGGACCCTGCCCTCTCAAAGGCACAGTGAAGCTCTGAACTGAAGGAGCTTACACCAACATCCCCAAGGCCTGGCCATGGGAGGTTCCCTCCGGGGGTGCCTCATGGGGTCTTCTTAGTCTGTGGGATAGGGATGGGGTGGGTATGCCTTATGCAGACCCACTGGGCTTCAGTCCCAGCTACAGGAGGGTGGCAATGTCTAGGGCCACCTCCCTAAGGGGGTGACTGAGAGGAGCTGCTCCCTCCAAACCAGAAAGGGTGGTAAGAGGTGGAAGCAGCAGGTGCAAAGTAGACAGCAGGATCTCGCCTTCCTCCTGGGGACTGGCCACAGGGAGGAGTCGGAGGCCCTCATGGTCTGTCCCCATCTAGGGTGTGGTGTCCCATGGGAGAGAGGGAGAGTGGCAATGGCCTCCGGGGCTCCCAGGCTGGACCCAGCAGTATCTGACCCGGCAGGACCTCAGGGAACAGGATGCTTCAAGCACCCCAACCTCTTTTCTAGCGACATGAAAGCCCAGGAAGGGTGGAAGGCTTGACCTGGTGGTAGGGGCTGCCTCTCCCCATGACCCAGAGGCCCCTGCTCTCCAGCCCTCTTGGAGCCCCAGGGCCCCCTGGGTCACAGTATGGATGTTACTGTCCAAGACCAGTCTCCATGTTTATAGATGTGGAAACTGAGGCCCGGGGTGGTGCCAGGTCCTACATCACAGGGGGATAGAACAGTATCTGATTTGTGCCTGACCCCACATAGCCTGGGGCTCAGGGGCTATCTGGGAATGAGCGGGTGGGCTCAGGGCCGACTTCCCCACCCCACGCACTGGGTACGCCATGTTAGTGTCTGGCTCCAAGCCCAGACTGTGAGAAGCTCAGGGCAGGACCTGAGCTTCCCCACATCCCTCGATCCTGCAGCAGGTGCGTCCTCTCAGGGCCAGAGAGGCCAGGCGGTAGGCTTTCTCTTTGCAGGGCCACTTGGGGGGTGGGCCACTGATGGACACGTGCCTGTGAGCCTCAGGTGGCAGGGGCTCAGGCCCTCCTGAGGTGGGAGATTGGGGGCAGTGTAGATCACTCGCTGACACGAGGTAGGGCACCTGGGGCGGCCGAGATGACCAAGGCAGAAGGTGTCGGCTCAGGGATTGGGGCCGTAGACTCCAGAGCTGCTGCAGTTGGGACTTGCCATGACAACGCTTTCCAATGTGCGTCCTGACACTGCCATCCCACCAGACCTGGTCCCACAGGCCCCTCCTCCAGGGCCGCTCCCACCCCATGAGGGGTGAGGAGGAAGCAGACTCCAAAGCCACTTTGTTGAGGAGGTAGCTTCTGAAGAGAGCTGGAAGGGCGGGGTGGGCACTTTTTAGTGGGCATTTTCTGGAGGAGGGCATTCCAGGCAGTGAGGGTGTGGCGTGAGCAGCATAGATGGCTTGGGAGTTGAGGGAGCTTCCGGAGGCTGGAGGAGGCTCAACCTTTGGATGACAGCCACACTGGGAGCAGGTGGCACCTGGGCTGCTGCTCTGTGGGTGGAGGTAAGGTGCCTGTGGGATGCCTGGGTGTGATGGGAGTCCTCAGAAGCCATGAAATGGGCTGATTTGCTTTTTTAGGAAGTCCCCTTAACATGTACCTAGCAGAGTGCAACACACAGTAAGTTCCCAGGACACTGACTGGTGAATGAAGAACTGAATGTCAGATGAGTGGGTGGATGGATGGATGGGTGGATGGCTGGCTGGCTGGGTGGATGGATGGATAGCTGGATGGATGGATGGATGGATGGATGGATGGATGGATGCACGGATGGATGGATGGATGGATAGGTGGCTGGATGGATGGGTGGGTGGGTGGATGGATGGATGGATGGATGGATGGATGAATGGATGGATGGGTGGATGGGTGAAAGGATGGAAGGAAGGAGGGACAATGGATGGATGGACAGGTGAATGGGTAGATGGACAGATGAACAGATGGAAGCATGGATGGAAAGAAGGATGAAAGAAAGGAAAGAAGGAAAGAAGGAGAGGTGTATGGACAGATGCGTGAAGAGAATGAAGGAAGGAGAAGGAAGGAAGGAAAGAAGGAAGGAAGGAGGAAAGGAGGGAAGGAGGGATGGAGGGAGGGAGGGAGGGAGAGAGGGAGGGAAAGAAAGAAGGAAGGAAGGAAGGAAGGAAGGAAAGAAGGAAGATGAAAGGATGGCTTGACAAACAGATGGACTGGAGGTGGGAGAGGCTGGAGCGGTGATCCAGGTGGGAAGTGAGGAGCCTGCCTTATAAGGTGTGGTCTCGGGGATGAGGCAGAGGGAGGTGAGGTGCGTGGGCTGAAGAGATGCAGGGGCATGGTCTGAGGTCTAGGGATGAGCTGAACAGCAGGAGGGGTCTACCGTGACTCCCAGCCCACTCTGGGTGAGCGTGAGTGGCCGGTGGGGCAATGATTAAGATGGGGAGTTGGGGAGCTGCTGAGTTCGGTTGGAGAGTCTGAGCCAGCAGGACGTTGTGGGAGGGTGGTCTATACCTCAGAAGGGAGGTCAGGACCAGACCCAGGAGTGTCAGGTGCAGTGCTCACTGGCCCAGAGGAATGAGCTGGCCCAAGGGCAAGCATGTTGCCAGCAAAGTCCAGGGAGCCCCATGGCGGGACAGCACTCCTAAGCAAGCTGGCCACATGCAGGACTGTGGTACCAGGTGGCAGGTGGCAGGCGATGGGATTGGCATCCAGGCTACTATGCCTCTCAGGTTGTCTTCAGGGCAGTGGGAACTTCTCCACTGGGCACTCTGGAAAGTTCCATACCCTCCAACCAGACTGCTTGGCTACCCCCAGCCTCAGCATCCCTTGTGGGGCTAGGAGCCTCTGTCCACCCTTCTCAAAGCCAGACTTCGAGCTCTCAGGCATGAAAGCCCCAGGTGGGCTCTGAACCACTGAGACCCCCTCATGTCATACTTTATTCTGTCTCCCCAAATCCTGGGTCCCCTATGGCAGAAGCTGGCACCATGAGGGCCCCTGCTCCCAGACACAGCTTCCAGGACACTGATGAATGGACTGAATGTCAGACGGATGGGTGGATGGATGGATGGGTGAGTGGATGGGTGAATGGGTGGATGGATGGATGGGTGAGTGGATGGGTGAATGGGTGAATGGGTGGATGGATGGGTGGATGAGTGGATGGGTGAATGGGTGGATGGATGGGTGAATGAGTGGATGGGTGGATGAATGGGTGGATGGGTGGATGGATGGATGGGTGAGTGGATGGATGGATGGGTGAAGTTGGATGGGTGAATGGGTGGATAGATTGGTGATGAATGATGGGTGGATGGATGGGTGGATGGGTGGATGGATGGATGATGTGAGTGGATGGGTGGATGGATGGATGGATGGGTGGATGAGTGGATGGGTGAATGGGTGGATGGATGGATGGGTGAGCGGATGGGTGAATGGGTGGATGGGTGGATGGATGGGTGGATGGGTGAATGGGTGGATGGATGGGTATGGATGAGTGGATGGGTGGATGAATGGGTGGATGGGTGGATGGATGAGTGGATGGGTGAATGGGTGGGAGGAAGGAGGGAGTGGCCTCTGGACCAGAGAAAATGAAGGGGTGCATTCCAGCTTTCTGGGCCTTCCTTTATCAAAACGGCTCAAAATCTGTGATGAAATCATCGGCTTATGTGAGAGGGAGCTGCGCGGTGTGTCCTCTGTGCGCAGGACTGAGCAGAGAGCTCACTGCAGGGAGATTGTCCTCGGGCCGCGTCGGCTAGACTACTTGTGGATGGAAAACCTCTCATTGCCCAAGGAAGTATCAGCCAAATTGCATGTAATGACTACTCGGAGGTAGCAAATTTCCCCGTTACATGTATTTTACTCTGTGTATTCCCCAGCCCTACCCCTTATGAGGAGGGGCACTGCCATACCCGCAGAGTAAGGAGACCCTTTTTGGTTACACGGAGGCCCAGGCAGTAAATAGACTGGGTCCCAAGCCTGGGCTCCAAGGCTCCTGTGTGCCCGGGACATGGGCGCCATCTCCCTTCCCCTCCTAGGCTTCAGCTCTCACCTTTCCACCCTTGGAGGGAACCTGCAGAGCTGGCCTAGCGCCCTCCTCCCCATGCTCCCAGGAGAGCTCTGGCTGCCCCAAGGAACACTCTCAGGTTGCCTTGGGTCCATTTATTTTGGTGGAAATTTGGGGGACAATCACTTCCCTGCTCTCAGCTACTCTCAAGGGAGGATGGTAGTGATGACGAGGATGGGGGGAACCTTTGCTAACCTGGCATTCTCTAGATTCCAGGTCTGCCAGGGCGAGGCTCCAGGTCACTCACGGAGCAGCCTCTAACAGACACAGCCAAAGATCACTGGGCGCGGAGCCCTGCGCCAGGGTCTGTTCCCAGCTCGGGTCCCATGTACCTGAGCAAAGCATTCTACTGCCCACATGCCCCATCTTCTGGTGTGATGTGCAGGCCAGACCACTACTCCCACAGCGCCCACCCACGGGACAGCCTGGACTCACCGAAGCATAGAGTCGTCCCCTCTTGTTCATGGCCAGGTACCGCCCGGAGAAGAGACCCCTGATGGCCACAATGCCCACCTCCACTGCTGTTATCTCCAGAATACCTGGGAGAAATGAGAGGTGCCTCACTCCCACCGCCCCCCATAGAGCCACGGAGCGGGCGGCTGATGCCCAGCTGGCCTTGCCCAAAGCCACACCCCGGGCTCAGGGCTGGGGAGGGTAGCACACAACCCACAGGTCGCGGAGTGAGTGGAAGTTCAGGGAGGGAGAAGTCACCAGACAGGAGGTAGAGAAGGAGACCTCAGGGAAGGTTTGTCCTCATTCAAACCTGGGAGGGAAACGATGCAATTAACATTCCCACCCGCTGACGCTGCCCGCAGGATGGTTTCCATTCCACCCTCACAACATCTTGCCAGGTGCCTTCATCATCCGACAGACAAGCAAGTGGGGACCACTATGGCTGGGTGACTGTCAGGCCCCTGCACATGTGCCTGAGCGGGAAATCAAGCCCTCGCGGTAGTCATGAGAGTCTGAGCTCTGGGACTGCACGGTCCCCAATACCTGCGCCAGACAGCAGGAAAGCTGGGCCCTGATGAGCCAGGCTGGTAATAAAACCCACTGACAACAGCACACAGGGTGCCTGCCACCCAAATCCTTCTGGCCGTAGACCTGGCGGGAGATCATTGTACCTGGAAGGGCAGGAAGCCGGTTTAGACCCTGGAGCCCGCAGAGGGAAGCTGGGTGGGTCTCACCCACTCGCCAGGGATAAGAAAGTTTAAATCTCCCCTCCCGCCTTTCCTTCTGGATACACGAGTGCAGTGGCGGAGGCTGGGGGCGGGGGACTGCATCAAAGGCCGGGTTGGGGTCACTGTCTCCCAACAGAGGCTGCGAAGGGATTGGGGCGACTGCCTGCACCCTCTCCAGGGGATGCCTCTCAGGACCGCGCTCCTGGCACGCGGTCCGAGCACGGCCGCGGTCGCCACCGGGCTTTTGCTCCAGCCCAGGGCTGCTACGGTGCAGGCTGCGAGCCTCCCGCCTTCCCAGTGCGCAGGCTGGGCGGCCTCGGCGCTGACCGCCCGGGGGACCAACGAAGCCAGAGTCTCGACGCAGGACGGGGGCGGCTGCGGGGGCGAGCCCTCCCCTCCCCCTGAGCAGCCAGTACCAAGAAGTTTGGATGCTGTGCGACTCGAGGGGGAGCCTGGCTTTGGAGAGAGCCGGGGTGTCTTTGTGAGACGAGTTCGGCACACTCGGACCCCCTGGCAACAGCTGGTGCCCACCGTGCGGCTCCGGAGGCGCGTGTCCCCAGGGCGCCCTCACAGGGCTACGGCTTTCCTGGAGGAAGCCGCGGTTTACTGCCGCCGCCACCTTCAATCCACCGCACCGCTTCCTGAGCCCGGGGCCGGAGCCGAGCGCCGGGCAGCGCACCCGAGGACCACTGTGGTCTTGACTGTCCTCCCACCCTCCCCACGCGGTCCTCCCGGGCCTTGAGCTCCGCTATCCTGCTCCTTAAAGGGCTCGGCGAGGGCCTCAGGTCCCTGTGACCAGAGGAGCCTAACCGTGTTGCCCGGCGGACTCCCGCGGTGAGCGCAGCCCGGGCCGCGGGTCCTGCGTGCTGCGGGGGAGGGTGTGTGTCTGCACCCCCAGGTAGGGGAGGACACCGCTCCGCGCTCCTGATCCGCGCGTCCCGACGGCGAGAGCCCCCACCCTCCCGTCGCTGTGCAGCCAGGGAGGAGGCGGGGGAGGTGCAGATTCCAGCGCGGGGAATAACTGTCGGAGGCGGCCGCGGCTGGGGAACCGAGCTCCGCAGGGCAAGAGTCCTCCGCTCAGAGGCAGCGGCTGGGGCGGCCACCTGGGCAGCCGCGAGCGGGGAGGGCGGAGGGGACGGCGGGGCGTCCAGGGGTCGACAGGAGGAGGAGAAGTCGTCAAAATAATAAAGAGGATGATAAATGCCTTGTCCGGCTCCTTTTCTCCGACACATTCAAAGGGCTTAAACTTGTCAGAGCTGCCCAAAGCAGCAGAGCCGGGAGCCCAGGGGTCGCCTAGCTCGCGTCCCCTCAGACCAGCGGGCTGGACCGGGGACCGACTCTGACAGCCGCCGGCGCCCTCTTCGGACGTGAACGCCCATCCCCCCGAGTTCTGCTCGGACCCCAGCGCGCGCTCTTCTCCCGGACGTGTAGGGCGAGGAGGACACCCTGGCGGTCGCCTTCTGGCAGCGGGAAGCAACCGGTCTTTTCCCGGACACCCTGAGCGCACCGTGCCTTCTCCCGGGCCCGAACCTCCCCGGCTCCGCTTCCCCCGCGGGGTCCCGCAGCGTCGGGCACTCACTGTAGGCGCTGTTCTCCAGGCTGCCGTTGACGCGGCCGCTCGGGTGCAGCTGGAGGTGGTACTTCGTGGCGCAGTAGAGCTTGCGGCGCCGGGGCGCCCCGCCAAGGTGCTCGTAGACGCCGCCGCGGCCGCCCGCATCGCGCCGCAACCGAGCCCCAGGACCCGCTGCGGGCCAGCCCGGCTCCAGCAGGCTGAGCAGCAGCAGCCAGATTAGGCCCATCGTGGCATCGCGCCCACCCCGCGGCGGCGGCGGCTGCAGGCGAGCGCGGCGCCCATGGAAGGGGCGGCAGCCGGGCCGCGGCGAGGTGCTCGGAGCGGGCTCCCGCGCTTGGCGATGCTGACTTCGGCTTCGCGGGAAAGGTGGGGGAAGAAGGGGAAAGGGTGGGCGAGAGAGAGAAAGAGAGGGAGAGTGGGAGAGGGAGAGGGAGAGAGCGATCGCGGAGTCCCTTTAATTTCCACCCAGGAGCAATGAAATGTCCGTTGCTGCGCAAAGCGCTGAAAGAAAGGACGGTTCGGCAACAAAAGGCCGACGTGGTCCCCAGGCGGAGGCGCGGGAGGGGCGGGAGGCCGGCGGGTGGGGAGCCCCGCGGAGCTCGGGGTTCGGGCCGGGCGCCGCCTGCATACACTCGCCCCCAGCGCAGGGCCGTCGAGCCACGGCTCCGCTCCGCAGCGCGCCCCACGCCCCCGAACGCCCTCCCGGCTCTGAAAGGTCCCTTCCCCGCCCCTCCCCCGCCCCCTCCCCCAGACCAATTATGTCTCCGAAAATTATAGACCGAGGCCTTGAGGCGGCCGCCCCAGGCCCTGTCACCCCCTCCCGCTCCCCATCAATCCCCCTGCACAATGGGGCCGCCGCCAATGACTGATGTCCGTGAAAACAACTTGCGGGGAAGTCGAGCTGACAAACGCCCATTAAAGGCGGCGCATAATGAAGGGCACCGCGGAGGGCGGCGGCGGGAAGGCTCCGGGGTGAGGGCACGCGTGGGGAGCCCCGGGTTTGTGTCTGCGCCCGGCGCTTCCTGCAGGAGCAGCGGTGCCGTCCTCAGCCTTGCAAGGCGCGGGCGGGCCGGGACTGGAGATGTTATCTTCTGTTGCGCACCCCAACCGGGCACCCGGAGTGGTGGGGTTAGCGCTCGTCGGGCAGGCCTCGGAGGATCCCGTCCCTGTGGCGGTCCAGAGAGGGTCCTGGAGAGGCAGGAGGAGGGACGCGAGAGCCAGAGAAGTGGACGCAGACAGAGAGCCCTAGAGAGAAAGAGATGCAGATAGAGAAAAACGGAGAAGGAAAGGACAGGAAAGACATGGAAAATGTGAATGACAGAGATTGGCCAAAGAGAGGAGGCAGGGGAGACGGAAAGAAGACAGAGCGGCGGAGAACACCCGGAGAAAAGCACAGGGAGTCTGGCAGCCACAGCGGGACGGTGATGAGAGGAGGAGCCCCGCAGAGGCTGGGAAGGGATGTGGAGGAGTCCTGGCCTGGAGGATCTGAAGCAGTGCAGATGCGGGGGTGGTCCCCTGGACTGTGTGGGGGTCAAGGTGTATCTCAGCTCAGGAGGCCCTGTGAAGAGGGGTTTCAGAAGGTACCCAGAAAAGCCACCTCCCCACCCATTTCTCTTGCTTCCTGGTCCTCTGTCCCCCAGGGTCCTGGGACCAGCAGGAAGCAGGGGCCAGCACAGCGGCTTTGCCTCTCTCAACCCCGCCCCGGAGTAGGGCACCGCTGTGGGGTCCAGGGGTCTAGGCCACAGCTTTGGCTTCAAGTTGACTAGGGGCTCTGGGGTGAGTTGGGTGGGCTGACATTCCCCAGCCTGCCATCTGCATCAGGGTTTGGGGTCAGGCAAGTGTGCAGGGCACTGTGAGCTGTGGCAGTGAGCACACACCCCTGGGACATGTCCAACTCCCATGGCCCAATATACAGGGCAGCAGGTCCTCCAAGAGCCCACTCCAGCGTGCACAGGGTCCAGGTGGCCCTCCTGAAGGAGGGTGCCCCCAAGCCCTCCCCAAGCACCTCAGTCTTAGTCAGGATCTCCTAGCCACTGCCCCAGGGTCAGCTTGTGAGAGTTCTTGTACAGGCCAGAGGCCAGCCACCGAACTACTGGAGCCTCAGCCTCCTGGTGATGGAGACTGTGTTACAGGGGTCAGATGACAGTGCCAGGAAAGCCCCAAAGGACAGAAGCAAGAGGAGAGCTTGTCCACTGCAGCGCTGCGCAGGCCTGGACTGGGATGTGTGGCCACCTGGGCTCCCTAAGAGGCAGGGAAGAGGCATAGGAAGGAGGTCCCTGCTCTAAATGCCGTAGCTCTGCTACCTCCTGACACCTGGCCAAGAAGAGAGGAGATGTAGTGGGATGGGGGGTGCACAAAAAATTCAGAGAGGGGTACAGTCAGGGGGGCACAGTCTGACAGAGAGAGGAGAGAGGACACAGTAACGTTTTGAGAGAGAGAGCAAGAGCAGCTGTCCAGGGCCAGGGGACTTCCGATGCCCTTTCCTGTTGATGCCCCAGTTGCCTCCTTGGCAGGACCCCCCCCGGAAGACTGGGAGGAGCCAGAAAAATCTGATCAAGGCAATCTGGGTGTACACGCCCCTCCTGCTCCACGCCTGGGACCCCCAGCACTTCCCGGGAGACTCCCAGGCTCTGGTCTCCAGCCCTGCCCACCACCCAGTTGCCCTGTGCCCGAGGACCCAATATGAGGGCAGGGGCTGCTGCCCTGAAGCAGGAGTCCAAGAGTGACCCCTCTATAGGAGGGAAGCCCCGGGGATGGGCAAGAGGTTTCTGACTCTTAGGGAGCGCCTGACACACTAGCCACTCAGTGCATACTCCTAAAATGAATGAATGAATGAATGAATGGCTTGGCCACTTCCTTGCCACAAGGACTTGGCCATGTAGTGTCGCTCCTGAGATACTGGTTTCTCATGTGTGTGATACCCCAAAGGTAGGGCCGGAAACTGAGTGGCATTACCCCTGCAAAGTCTGGACCACCCATCAGTGCAGGGCATGCTCCAGGACCGCAGTTTATGACTCTAACCCTGCTGCCTTTGAGAGTGAAAGGGGGTGCAATTCTCAGGTACACTAGGACAGCCGGTGCCCTGCCCATGGTCCCTCCTGGTGGCCCTGGCTCACTGTCTGCTGTTCTGGTGAGCATGAGTTTTCTGAGGCAGCCAAGCTCTCTGGGCCATGTTTTCCCCTCTCCTCCAGTCGCTGGTGACGGCCTTCAGCCCGGTCCTTCCATCCGCGGTCCACCCTGCAGTTACGGGAAGTTGTCTGGAGCCCAAAGCTGCCTTCTCCAGATGCCCTAGCCCCACTGACAAAGGTCGTAGTGTTGAGGGAACCGTGGGGATGCCCACCCACCCGCGTGAACCTCTAGTTCACTTCCCACAGCTTCCAGGCTGGGCCTCCAGGCCATTGCTCACCCACCTAGTGAGTTCCTCCTCATCTAAACCTGCGGCTCTTTTCAGCCCAGGAAGCCCCCTAGAGCCCCACCCTGGGAGTCTGGGACCCTCAGGCCCAGCCAAGGGAGGGGAACCTGATTCCTCCACATCTGCCCGGCAGGGGCAGGGGTGTGGGCCACAAAGTCTTGTGGGTGGGGTGGGGCGGAGGCACCCACATAATGGTGACCTCGCCCCTCTCCCTCCCAGTCGGAGCCAGGTGGGGGGTGCACCATGCGCTAATAGCGACCCTGTTAATTGCTTCCAAATGGTCAACTGTAGCCATTTGACTAATTGGTCTCTTCCAGAGCCCAGCCTGGACACCCCAGGCCCAGCTGAAGTGCTCCTACCAGCAGCCCCTGAACCTCTGCACTGGGACCCTGTCCCTCAGAGCACTCCCAGCCCTATCTGGTACTGAGTCCGCCCCTAGCCCGTTCCCCTGGAGAGAGAGCTGGGGTGGAAAGAGGGCAGAGGACAGGGTCCTGTGATGTGGCCGCAGGTGGCTGGCCAGGGACTGTCAGATGTGATGCTGACTCCCAGCCCCAAACTCACTCTAATTGTGTTACCCGCCACCCCCATCCCCTTACCCTATCCTTGTCCCCAAGAGCAGTGGGAGAGAGACGCAGCCTGCCTGTCACCGGGAGACCGTGGGTCCCTGAAATCCTAGGAGCAGCCCTGATCAGCCCCACATTACAGATGAGAAAGGGAGGCTCAGAGAGGGGAAGTGACTTGCCTGGGGTCACACAGCTGGGAGATGAGGTAAGAAGACTGGAATGCCCCTTCTGGCTACGGGACCCAGGACCTGAGCAGTGGGAGAGGGAAACCGTTGCCCCTCTAAGTCCCCAAAGCAAAGCTGCGGCTTTGCTTCCGGCAATGCTAGAAGCCCTGGCAGGCAGGGGTGGGATGGAAGGCACATACATCTCCCCACATTGGGGCCTGCACAGCATTTTGAGGCTCATCCACGGTGTGGCGTGTATCAGAGCGTCCTTACCTTTTCTGCCCTCGTGGCATTCCATCGTGTGCACAGACCACATGCTGTTTATTTTTCCTCCATGGATGGATATTCGGGTTATTTTCTGGCTATTGGCTATTTTGAAGTCCCAAGCTGAGACGTAAAGGAGGGATCCTCTCTGGGTAGAGGAGAGGAGGGAGCAGAGGGCTCCCTGGCCCAGGGACAGACAACTCCAGCTGCTCTTTTCCTTCCCCACAACACCAAGGGCAGCCACCAGCCTCTGCATCCCCTGAGCCTGTCAGTGCCTGGCATCAGACTCCAGGCAGAGCAACTGGCAGGGCTTGTAGATGCCATCTTCTCCCTGTGTTCTCACAGGTTCGTCCCTCTGTGTGTGCCTGTGCCCTCATTGCCTCTTCTTATAAGGACCCCAGTTGGATTGGACTGGGGCCATTCCACAGACCTTGCTTTACTTTAATCGCCTTTGAAAAACCCTAGCTCCAACTGCAGCCGCATTCTGAGGTCCTGCTGAATACGGCTCCAACATACCAATCTTGGGGGACACCGTTCAACCCAAAACAAGTGCAAATGATGAGGTATGCCCCCAGTCCTGTGGATGAGGTGGGGTGGAGGGAAAGGAAGCAATTCACACCCCCACCTCCTCCCACCATGAAGTCAACTGCAGTTGCGCGGGGCCAGGCTTGATGGGGAGCTGTGGTGGCAAACCCACTCCCATGGAATCACCCCGTGTCCCCGCCTTGCACCCCCCTACCCCCTCCACCTTTGCCCAGACCAGTTCCTCCACCTGAGGGCCCTTTCACCTTTTCCATCCAGAAGCTCCTGCCATTCCTGCAAGACCCAGTCCCTGGCCCCTGGAGGTGCCCACCCCCCAGGGCAGAGTCTCTTCCTCTGGCCTCCCTGGCCCTTGCTCCCTCCATGCCACCCTGATCCCTAGGCCCGTTTCCCATCAGCAGCGGCTCAGGCAGGGCAGCTCGCTCTGGAGGGCAGGCAGGCTTTTCTTACCTCTCCCCAGTGCTGACCTGTGCAAGGTGTGGCTAGGACGCTTGGACAGTGGGCAGGAGGCAGGGATGGTGAGGTGTGGGTGGAGGGAGGAGTGCTGGGCTCCCCACCCCCAGTCTAGGATGTTCCTCCTCCGCACCTGCATGTTCTATGTTCTCCTTAAACCATCACGGTGCTGCTTTGAGGCTCCTGTGTCTGCTAGGAAAAAGGGGCTCTGTTGCTGAGGCCTTCACTCAGCCGCCTACAACTGGGGTAGGCTGGGGAGCGCTAGAAATACAATCACAAGAGCTGGCATCGATGGACCCGATGGGCTCAGGTATGCAAGCTC